AAATAAAATTACCTAACTACCCTCACCCACCCAATCCTTCTTCTTCTCCTTCTTTCTTTTTCTTTCTTTCTTTCCTGCCCTGGGTCTCTATGGCTGCGACGAACCCAGCCTGCTGGATCTCGTCGGAACCCAACCTGCTGGGTCTCGTCGGAACCCAGCCTTGCTGGGTTTGGGGAGACCTAGCCTTGCTGGCTTCGGGGAGACCTAGCCAAATCTGGGTTTGACGAAACCCAGATCTGGCTGGGTTCCATCGAACCCAGCAAGGCTGGGTCTCGTCGAACCCAGCCTGGCTGGGTCTCCCTTGCTGGGTTCCAATGAGACCCAACGGGCTGGGTTCCGACGAACCCAGCAAGGCTGGGTTCCGACGAACCCTGCTGGGTCTCGTCGAACCTAGCTTGGCTGGGTTTCCCCGAACCCAACCTGGGTTCCGACGAACCCTGCTGGGTCTCGTCTAACCTAGCCTTGCTGGGTTTACCCGAACCCAGCTGCTGGGTTCGACGAGACCCAGCTGGGTTCCGATGAACCCAGCTTTGCTGTTTCGATGCTGAATTCATGTTTTTCATTCTTCTTTGGATTTTCATTTCCAGTTGTTAATAAATTTGAGAGTTGATTTATAATTTGATTGTATTTTTGTTGGAGTTTGATTGATATTATTTATTGAAGGGTTAATTTGATTTGATAAGATTTACTAAGTTTGAGGCTTGAATGAAACCCAGTAATTGGGTTCAATTTCTCAAGTTCTCTTAATAAAAGAGAAGAAGAAGAAGAAACTGGGTTCAATTTCTCAAGTTCTCTTGAGAAAAGAGAAGAAGAAGAAATGGGTTAAGATCGGTTTTGTAGAGGAGTGGAGATGAGAGAGCATTTAGAGAAGAAGAAGAAATGGGTTAAGATTGATTCTGTAGATGGAGTGGAGGTTGATTTTGCAGAGAGTGAAAATGAGAAAGGAAGATGACATGTCGCCAAAAAAAAGTCCAAATCAGTGCCTTTTAAGTTATTTTTGCCATGTCATCCAAAAAAAATATAAAAAATGCCATGTGGCCAAGTTAACAGCGAAAATTGACAGAAGGACTAACGGAGTGCATTTCGTATAGTTGAGGGATCAAAAAAGTACAAAAAATTGTTGAAGGACCAAAAATGTGTAACTCACTAAAGTTTAGGGACCAAATTTAACATTTAACCAAAATTATATGTACTCATCGTTGTCAAAAAAATACAAGTAAAGAAAAAAAAATTTTGACTACGTGAGTGATATGTATTTAGTTTATGATTTTTTATTTATAAATTGTTTGTATGACTTCTTTTATTTTTATTTTTTAAATTTATTGTTATTATATA